TGTTTATCAACATCCATCTGTTGATAGGGGGATACCACAGGGAAGCACAGCATCCTTGTTTTCTACATGAACAAATTGAGGCCCACATGACACGAACAAACCTACATCCCCACCCAGCTCCGGGACAGTGCTCCATCTGCACCAAGGCACTGTTGGCAGCAAAGCTCGACTGGCACCGGGCACCGTTTGGTTCCCTGAAAACGGACCAGGTGCACATCATGCTGGGTGAGCCCTGGGCAAGTTAAATGCTCTCTCTGATCCTCAGTTTCACGCAAATGAGGGCAGGGATGGCACCTATGTTATGAGAGTTCAGTGCAATCAGACCCAAGGGCACGCAACAGTGTGCTGGGTTTGCAGGCTGCTCTGCCCATCCCAGCAGTGGGCATTCAGGGGCACCCACAGAGGCTTCTGGCAGAATGCTTCTTGGGGTTATGATCTCACTGGCAGGCAAACTCTGTCACAGAGGAGCAGGGACGCACCATCAGGAGGATGGTGACAAAGGAGAAGCCCATGACACAGAAAGGACACATGGCTGGGGGCGGGGAGGTGCTGCGCTGCAGTGCAAGGCAAAGCTTTCCAAAAGCAGAGAAGGGACAGAGTGTGACAGCCAGACAGAGCGGGATACCCAGAGGCCTGAAGCAGGCTGGAGCCTGTGCTCTCCAGGAACCAAAGCAGGCCATCAGTCTGGACCTGACAAGCAGGTGGGGACGGGGCAGCCGAGGGCACGGGCAGGGCCCTGGACCTGTGAAGGGACTCATCCCTCCTCCTTGGGGCTTAGAGTTATGGTTTCTATCTGGAAGTCCCCCAGAGCCTCACACGTTCACAGGCGGGGTTCAACAATGGGGGCCTGATACAGGATTGGTTTACTCTCGTGTTTATACCCAAGTATAATTTGGGAGGTGAAGCCTGGTTGGAGGAGGTGGGTCAGTGGGGGCGTGGCCAGGAAGGGTCCGTCCCCCACCTCAGTCCTGCCCTGCTTCATATCCACGCCGTAAGTGAGCCTTCTCTACCATGCTGCTGTGTCTCAGAGCCAGCCAATTATGGACTGAAACCCTTCACATGCTGTGAGCCCAAAATAAACTTTTCCTCTTTTAAATCATGGGTGTCAGGTATTGTGTCCCAGCCACGAGAAAATAACTAAGGCATTTTGTTTCCCCACCTATAAAATGAGGATGAGAAAAATACCAAGCCCAACCAGGCCTCTGGGGTGAGTGCACATGGGTGAGTTTTTTGGTTTTTTGTTTTTCAGATTATCATTTTACCATTGCCAGGTATGCAAAGGTCTTTTTTTTCCCCCCATAATTTTATTGAGAAACAACTAGCAATGAGACAGTTTCAAACCAAATTGGTAGGACAGTTTCAATAATTAACACATTGCATACATTCTTCATAGTGGTTATTTGCTGTACAAGATGCAGACATGATATCCTATTTACAAACACTATTAGAACAAATCCCTCTATTCATTAAGAG